GCTGCTGTGAAAATGGATGGGCAAATACCTGTTTTGAGTCCCTGCTTTCAATTCTTTTATATATTGTTGGTTCATATGGAAATTCTGTTTAATTTTTTGAGGAACTGTCGAACTGTTTTCTACCATGCCTGCAGCATTTTACATTTTCACCAGGACTGCGCAAGGATTCCAATTTTTGCACATCCTCTCCAGATGCTTGTTATTCTCTGTTTTTTTGATAGTATCCATCCTACTAGGTGTGGTGTGGTTTATTTCATTGTGGTTTGCATTTGCATTTCCCTAATGATCAGCCATTTTCTTTTCATGTGCTTATTGGCCATCTGTATATCTTCTTTGGAGAATGAAAAAAGTATATATAACTCATTCTACAGTAAGATCTCACTTACCTAAACAGAATTTGTGGCGAACCATGGCATGAACTGACATGAGACTATCCATATTTTTTATTTATCTCATTTAATATGAATATTCATGTGCTCTGCTAAAGAAATATTAGTGTATCTGATTATGGAGTGTTGCCCCAAATCCTACTGGGGCTGTTGATTTCAAATACATATGTAATACTTCGCTAACATCAAAAAAAATAATCAAGATTCTAAAGCACATTCTGTTTGAAGGGTTTTGGATAAGAGTCTGTGAACTTGTAGCTTCACTTCTTAGGAAAACTAAATTCCAATTCAAAAAAACTTAAAACTTTTGGAATTCAGAACATTAACCGAGGGCAGTACGTACTTCGTATTTGACCACTCCCATTTTGTTCTTTTCTGTCTTTATTCTTCATTATTGATGTCCCTTTCCTGAAAAATTTTTTTTAAGATTTTATTTATTTATTTGACAGACAGAGATCACAAGTAGGCAGAGAGGCAGGTGGGGGGGAAGCAGGCTTCCCGCTGAGCAGAGAGCCTGATGCGGGGCTCGATCCCAGGACCCTGAGACCACGACCTGAGCCGAAGGCAGAGGCCTAACCCACTGAGCCACCCAGGCGCCCCCTTTCCTGAAATTTTTTGGCTCTTAACTTCTCTGAGCCTTTTTTCCCATCTGTGAAGTGGGCATATTGTTTTCTACTTTGAGGAACGGACTAACAGTATAAGGCGTAGAGTGTGGGACAGTATTGACACCACAAATGCTGATTGTTTTTATTCTTTTTAAGTTCGTGCTCTCTCCATTTTGGAGCATGTGAACTCATTCTTACATCTCTCTTTCATCATGCAACTTCTAATCCCTAATGAACGGAATTATTTTTTATTATAGTGTTTCTATAGGAAAATGTTCAAATACTAGAAAGACCTCTCTTTTCCTTACATTTCACATGCTCATACTAATAATAAGGGTACACTCCTCCCCTCCACTCCCACTTCAAAATGCCATTCCTCCATGGGGAATGGAAAGGGAAAGTTGAGGGGGAGCTATCTGATGGAAGGCAAGAGAAAGAGAGAGGAACTATATATCAGTAGTAGATCAGTTGTAATTTTCATGTTTGTACCAGATCTGGACGGTACTGCAAGAGTTCCTTCTGTATATTGGAAATTAGAATTAGAGTCATTTGGTGGAGGAGGAGTTTTTGCAGAAGAAAAATAATCTTTTCTTATAAACTGCTAGTAATTAAAGTTTTATTATCTAGCATAGGCATATTTAAACTTACCTTTTGGTTTATACCAATTACTAGGGCATTTAGTGCCCCCCACCCTTAACTTTCTTAGATTGAAAGGTCCGTTCTGACTTGGGATGTATGTCACCTTTTCAAAATGTTGGCATATTCAAATGAAAAGGAGGCACAAAGTGGCAGAATTCTAGTTTTAAAAAATTTGTGTGTGTGTGTGTGTGTGTATGTTTTAAGATTTTATTTATTTGAGAAAGAACAGGCGGGGTCGGGGCAGAGGGAGAGAGAGAGAAGTAGACTCCCTGCTGAGCAGGGAGCCCATTATGGGGCTTGATCCCAGGACCCTGGGATCATGCCCTAAGCTGAAGGCAGATGCTTAACCCACTGAGCCACCCAGGTGCCCCTGTGTTCTTGATTATATTAGATAGCTGCTGCTTTAGAAAGCTGCATGTTTGGTTTTTTTTTTTAGGATTTTATTTATTTATTTGACAAAAAAGAGATCGCAAGTAGGCAGAGGTAGACAGAGAGAGAGGGGGAAGCAGGCTTCCTGCTGAGCAGAGAGCCTGATGCGGGGCTCAATCCCAGGACCCTGAGAACATGACCAAGCTGAAGGCAGAGGCTTAACCCTCTAAGCCACCCAGGCACCCCTAGAAAGCTGCATGGTTTTTTTGTTGTTGTTGTTGTTGTTGTTTGTTTTTTGTGTTTTTTTAAAAGATTTTATTTAGTTGACAGACAAGAGATCACAAGCAGAGAGGCAGGCAGAGAGGAGGATGCAGGCTCCCCACTGAGCAGAGAGCCCGATGCGGGACTCGATCCTAGGACTCTGGGATCATGACCTGAGCTGAAGGCAGAGGCTTTAACTCACTGGGCCACCCAGGCACCCCAAAAGCTGCATGTTTAATGAGAGAGTGTTTTGGCGAAATTTAAAAGTAAAACCTAGCAAAACTAACCTTGTCATTCAGATTTTTTTTTAAATTTTATTTATTTGAGACAGAGCACAAGCGAGGGGGTAAGGGGGGTTGGCAGAGGCAGAAGCAGACTCCCCACCAAGCAAGAAGCCTGCCATGGGACTTGATCCCAGGACCTTGAGATCACTATCTGAGCCGAAGGCAGACGCTTAACTGACTGAGCCGCCCTGTTGCCCCGTCATTGTGATTTGACAGTTTGATTTTGGCAAGGACTGAGTTAATGAGTGGTTTGGATGCAGCTGTTGCTTCCTCACTGCAGAGAGCCTTGTTAACTTGTAAACCTTAGTAAACGGAAATACACAGGCTCTTGAGGCTCTCATAAGGGAGTTGGAGATGGTGGTGGAGGACAGAGGTGGATGCGCGCATGTGCCAGCCATTTCACAGTGCAAAAAGGTGAGGATAGGTAAACGCAGTGGGGAAGCCTACTGTGAATCTAGTTTTACAGACTTAGTTGCGGTGATGTGCAAACAGTTATACTGGAATTGGATATCCACTTTCACATCGGGCATCCGCCTGGAAGAGCGACGAGCAGCCGATGGGAAAGCTCTCAAACAACAGGCAGTGCCTCAGCAGGTGCATCTTTTCAGCTTCTGTGCTTTTTATCTAATCCTTGGCTCAGGAAGTTGTTTTCTGTTACTTGGTTATTCTGATAACTTTCTATACTATTGATCTTGTTATTTTGAGCTTTGAAGGTAGGTTAAAAGATGCTGCTTTATGAATTAGAGTACTTGATTCTGGAATGTAGTTTAAAAAACAGTGTTTTTATAGCCTTTTTACGAAGTTTTAATTTGGTTTCGAGAAATGAAAAAAAATCTTATTTTAACCTTGTCTTGTGTGTGTTTGTTTTTAATGATTTTTGCATTTGGAAGAGCCCCAGTACTCCTTGGTGTCATAACACAATTGATTCAACTGAAGATGATTGTCTTTTGTTTCGAGATGGCTAAGGAAGAGGTTGAGGTTTTTCCTGGCTGTCTTCCAGTATGAAACCTCAGATAAGTCCCTTGGCCTTTTTATAAAAAAGAACGATTAGAAGGGGTGGGGAGAGTTCTCCTGTTAGTTGTAGTGAAGAGGCTTCTTCCTATGAATTTACATAAAACAGTGAATAAAAATATCTTTTCTGTTAAGTCAGTGTGTAGGGGAGTCTGAGGCTATGTGTATCTGTGGGCTCCAACAAGAGACTTTAAATAAATTTCTCTAGTTTTTAAAGCATGAAGTTGAAGGATAATATTGGTTATTCTTTTGATGAAAGGTTATTAATACTGTATTTGATTAGACTAACTTCTTTTTAAGTCAGTTTTTTTTTTTAAGATTTTATTTATTTATTTATTTTAGAGAGAGTTGGGGAGGAGGCAGAGGGGAAGGGAGTAGGACAAGCAGACTCTGCTGAACATGGAGCCCTATGTGGAGCTCAGTCCCACAACCTGAGATCATGACCTGAGCCAAAGCCAAGAGTGGATACTTAACCAGCTGAGCCATTCAGGCACCCCAATGCTAATCCTTAATGTTTATAGAATATCTATTATATTACAATATATTACAGTATATCCATTAATATACAGTATGTTATATGCATAATATGTATGAATATTTTCCTCTATTGGTTATAGAGCAAATCAAATTGCTCTTGAATATAAGGTTTTAAAACCTGATCTTTGTAGTCATCAGCAGTGGCTTATATTTAAAATGCTGGCATGGAAGTCATAAAGGCTTTACAGATTCTTCTTCTTTCAGATAATGTAGTTCAGGTTATTGCAGAGATGGGGGCATAGAGATTGTTTTCATTATAAACAGGTAGATAAAAGGGGTAACTATGTGTATAACAGCATTTTGTTGTTGATTAAATCTATAAAGAGCTACTAATGAAGGGAATTTTAGGTGCAGTGTAAAATGAATTGAAGACTCTTTTGATACTTATTTTGTTGTGTTCTTTTAATATTACATACTTTCCCAAACCAGAAAGTCACTCTTTTCTCTATGTGCTCACGTGTTCAGTGGGTTGTTTCTGTTGTCTGGTGAGGCAGTGTGTGTATGACCTTGGCAAGTGTTCAGAGCTCCTTCTCCTTCCTTGTTAAAGATTATTCTTTGTCTTACATCCCCAAACGCCAGCAGCTTCTCTTTAACAACTAAGTGATTAAGGGAGTGAGTTTAATTGCGGAAAATATTCGCAGTCTTATTAAATATGGAAAATGCAATGACACTAGTTGCATTTGGTTCTAAAAGATTTATTAGTATTTTTTGTTCTCCGCTTGAATACCCTGTTTACAAAAAAACAATACAGCTTATTTCAAAACTTGTTAGTTCATTCCTGGCTTTTTTTTTTTTTTTTTTTGTTCTTCTGAATCCCGAGAAGACAACATTTAATTTCAGCTTTTTAAAATATCTTAGTAGATTTCATTTAGCTGACTTCTGTGATGTATTTTTTGACTGTACAGAAAGTTGGAGTGACTGGTCCCCCTGATCCACAAGTCCGCTGTCCCTCTGTCATTGAGTTTGGGAAGTATGAAATTCACACCTGGTACTCCTCCCCATATCCTCAAGAATACTCAAGGTATGTTTTCAGAGACCCTTTACCTTCTGTTTCCAGATTCATAGAACTCAACAATTCATAGAACTCAAAGCTAGATCTTGAGGACATTTTAGTCCGCTCATCTTCATACATTTGAGGAAACTGGTGACTCTTACATGTCCTTAGTAACAGCATATTTTGGCAACCACTTAATCCCAGTGGGCTTTCGATTTTCTTTTCTGTAACCTATCCAAAAGCTGTTATTTAAAATTGGCCTGACACATGGTCAGAACCACAAGGGGAACATTTTTTCTTTAAGAGAAATTGCCTTCATACTTCACAGTACTTACATGTAAATAAAGTTTCAATGAGTAGCCTTTTATCTAAGTTTTTATAATTTAACGAACTTAGTGAATGGTTGGTTTTCCCAGGAATAATTGGACAAATAATATGCGATAATACTACATGTAAGTAGCTTGGGTTTCCAGACATAAAAAGTAACCAGTCACCAACTTTTTGGGGTGAGGCAGCATTTTTAATAAAGCCAAATTGGTTTCATGACTCAGTACTGACATTTATAAGCTGTATAACCTTAGAAGTTACCCAGCTCGCCTGTACCTCAGTTCCCTCATCTGCAAAATGGGGGTAAAAATAACACTCACCTCAGAGGCTTCATTGTGATCATTAAAACATGAGTTAAAACATGTAAATCACTTAGAAGAGGATAAGTGCTCAGTAATGTCAGATATTATTTTTTTCCTTTAGCATTGAAATTAAAAGAGTTGAAAATAAGTTTTGGTCAAAAAAATTAAACTTCGTAGTATAGCAGTCACATTAATGTTCTGTTTAATTTGTAAACTACTTATGCCTCAGGTTTCCCATTTAGCAGAGTGTTGTAAGGAATAATAAGTGCTCTATGAGTTAAACTCTTGTTCAGAATACTCTCATTATGTGGCTTTTTACCTATCTAGTAATATTCCTAGTCCAAAATGTTAGCACAGGTAATTATAATATTGATTTATTTAGTGTTTTACGGTATAGAGAGTGCTATAACATGGTTTATTTCCAGAAGCTGGGAATAAGCTAGTATGTTTGTTAAAAAAAAAAACTAAAACTCAGTATTGTTTTTACTTTTTCTTTCCACATACTTTGATAACTGGTTTCCAAATGTAAGCAGAAGTAGAAAAAAAAGGAGTGAGAATGTTATTATGGACACAGACCTCAGCAACCAAAAATAAGAGAAAGCCAAACTTCAGGAAGATAACACACAAGCTCATGAAACAGCAGTTGAGAGCCAATTATTGTAGGGTTGGTTAGCCCTGACCACTGTGTTAGATCTGTAAGGCAACATTCTGTTTATATCATGGAATAACAAAAATTAATACGAGTTTATTAAAAGAAGATTACATGATATGTGATTATGTATTTATATATGTTAAAAGAGGGCAGGAAATTCCTCTACTACTTACAGAACTCAGGTACTCAAGGCAATTTCTCAAGAGTTCTGGATATTCAGAGAATTATAGGACCAAGAAAACCTGTGGCCTTACATTGTTAATGACTGTTTATTATCCTGCACTAAATGACTTCTAAGTTATTTTCTTAATACTAAAATTTTTGAATACTTTTTGAAAAATTCATAATCATGCAAGAACAGAACAATTGCAGCGAATAAAAAGAAAAGATCCCAAAAGGAAAAATATTTTGGGAAGTGGGATTGTGCATTATTTCCCATAATATCTAGATATTTGTGTGTGCATCGTATATTAACTAATCTTGCATCTCTGACTTAAAAAAACAAAACAAAATGAAACAACAACAATGAAGCCATTAATTCTGCTTCATTTGGAACAGTACGATTTGGAATAGTATAAATCAGAGTTTTAACCTTAAATTTCTCCAGCAGAGCCATGTGATGTTCATATATGGCAGACAGGTTCATAGAGAACCTTCTAAAACATGACATAAATAGGTTGAAGGCAGGAGTAACTGTGATCATGGGATATCTTACTCCTGAACTGTCTTAGAACTTCATAATAACCTTTTTGCAAGGAGATCATACTGAAATCCTAAAGGATGAGTTCCATGTAATTGAGGAGCTTGGGAAGTTTCCTCTCCCTTTTGATCTGTTCCTGACTTGACTTGATGCCTAGATTACGTACAGCCCCAGTTACTAAAGACCAGGAACCTTAAGGACTTTGGGTGACCATTAAATGATGAAATAAAATGAATGAAAGGAGAATAAACTATTCATAGTATTAATCATAAATTATTAGTAGCTTTAGTTACCATCATTGAGCTTGGTACTGGACTAAAAATCTCTGGAATAATTCTGTTAAAGGTAGATATTACTGCCTTCATTTTCCAGATCAGGGCTCAGCAAACATATTCAAGACCATACAGTTCATAAGTGGCAGGACCAGGATTTTATCTCACTTTTCTCTTACCACATAGCCATAACCTTTAACCACCAAGCTTGCACTACTCCATATGGCATCTGTATCCACATTGATCTCACATGGCTTTTACCATAATCTTTGATTTAAGTAAAACTTCATAGAATTTTGTTGTTGTGTTAAAATTTTACTACAAGTAGACCTATTATAAAGACTACACAAATTGCTACTGTCTTGGGCAATGTTCAGAAGCCAAGATCATACCATGGGAGTTCCTGGGAAGAATATTTGCATCAACCCAGAAGTAAGATAGGCAATGCTTCTAAAGTGCATATAGTTGTGGCCCAGTCCTGACTTCACATGTAAGGGTATCAGCAGAGTGGCTGACTCTAGAATCAATTCCAGGTATGGAAGCAACACCCCATGATGAAGTGAGGCCTGTGTGCTCTATCAGGAAGACAATGACAAAAAGCAACACCCAGCAGTATTCTTTAGGGCTAAGAATATTCATACTCTCTATAACTATACTTCATTGCGTGTGATCTGATGTTCTTTCTGTATGACGTATTTTTTCAGTGAAAGAACTTCAGCCATAAGTACTGCTATTAAAACATTTTGTTTTTCTAGGAGTTTTATCAGATGATTCCCTTTAGACTAACAGTGTCATCCCAGTGGGCTTGGTTATAATAAAGTAAGAGGCTTTATTTTAAAATGTTTTCAGCAAGAACTGAATTGGAATCAAGTAGATTATGATGCTTGCTTTTACTTTATTATTTTTGAGATACTAAGATTTGCTGAAGTTTTTTTTAGTCAAGAAAATATCATACACCTTGCTATTCCAAGGAAATAGCATGAACTTAAAGTTTACCAGATAAGATTTGGCAGTAATTTTTTTTATAGATTTCATTCCTTCTTATGTTTTCTTGAACAACTTGCTTACTGTGAGAGCTTTAAAAATTAGATCTTCTTTCATAGACCTTACGAAATAAGTCATACTTTATTTTCATGTCTTTGTACCAAGACCTAAAAGTTAAATTGGATGCTTTTAACATTGGCATTTATCTTTAGCACAATCCAGAAAGTTTAGTGTCTGCCACTCCTCCCTCCCTTCCTTTTATCCCAGGATTTTGTTTATGTTTCTCAGATTCACATTGTAGGAAATACTTAGTTGTAATATTTAGCTCTCAAGACTAAACTGAATTCCCAGATTTTTTTTTATCTTTATGTTGCAACAAGTTAAAACTCCTCATTGAGAATATAGCACAGGTAAATAAAGATAAGGTAATTAGAAGAAGGAGGCTACCATTAATTACCCAGGGAGAACCTCTTCCTATCCTTTTCAGAAGAAGAAATTACTCAAAATCCGCATATTCAGGAAAATAGTCTGGCAGTTGTGGGTCAGCTCTGAGACTCGGTTAGTATATCTAGTGGCCACGTTAGATGATGAAGTTTATAATTGGGGCCATTTCGTTCTGAGATTTTTCAATTCTGGTGGTAAAGAAGCAAAAAGCTGTCTAGTCTATAGATAGACTGCTATTCTCTGAGCAGTGGAATTTGAGGCAGCATGCAAAGGAAATAAGCAAAGTCACCTAGGAAACCTTTCTCTTCAGTGGTCTTGGCTCCTGTTTCTTGACTTCAATTTGCAGTGTCAGTTGTTATTTGTTTTACTCAGTACTGTATTTTGGAATGACTTTTGTACTAATGACATAACTTCAGGTTGTATTGGTTTGTCTAATATGAGAGATTTTGGAAACCAGTATTAGATACTGTAGAGGCTTAGAAATATTATACCTCAGCAATTCCCTGGAAGCTCTTAGTGTGCTCTGTGTGACAGTTTTAAAAGTAAGCTATGAGGTTGTATAGGAAGAATGAATACACAGTGTAAATCCCCAGGGGAGAAGGAAAAAAGTCACATTAATGCCTTTTTCCACCTTTATTTGGGCGTGAAACACTTAATACGTACAGGACTAGTGCTCCATGAGTACACCTTGGTAAAGGCCTCAGTTGAATGTTAAATGTTTTCAGATAAAATATAATTATGTTTTAAAAGTGGCTTCTAAAGTAGTACTTGAAAAAATAGTGTGGTCTTCACACTTCAGTTAGACGTTTTTGTGCGTTAATCTACTTTTTCTTTAATTCTAGTGTGATCTTTTTAAAGCCTAACTATCCAAACTGATAGCAACTAAATTAATGAGGTTTATTAACTTATTTGAGAGAAAATGCAGTAATGTGTTTGGGTTATAGGTTTTGTCATCATATCTAGTATTTTTGTATATGCAGTTTTTAATGATAGTATCAGATCTTGGATTACCAAGGCATAACCAGTTCTGGACACAGTTCAGGATGCAGAGAAGTCTCTGTGCTGAGGATAAGTGAGGTGTATGTTTGTAATAGAAGAGCCACATGGTCTTCTGGATTAGACTAAAATAGGTATAAAAGCCACTGGCCTTTAATTTAGGTTATATTATTTCCATTACTTTATGAACTGATCCAATCACTTTATTGTCTTAGCTCCTCATAAAAGGGAGCTAAAGAAGTCCTGTTAAATAACTGCTAAAATAGCATGACTATTACATAAATATAAATTCATAACGGAAAATCTGAAAGAACAATTTTAACTTCTATTTCATTTGTTGAATGATAGACTTTTAAGTTGCAGGATTTAATGGGGTATTTAACCAGAGGGAAAGCCAGAATTTCAGGGGTAGAAGGAAGGAGGTAGTATAATATGTCCTAACTTGAAAAGACATATTATTATAGTTTTATACTTAAAAAGATGTATAAAGTCTGCTTTTATAATACCCACTTTATATCCATTTTACTCAGTAGTCTATACCTAGTGCACCTAGCACAAGGTCTGACACAGTAGTATAGTTGACCCTTGAACTATGCTGCGGTTAGGGGCACCTCCTCCCCCATGCGGTCAGAAATCCATGTATAGCTTCTGACTCCCCCAAAACTTAAAAGTCTGCTATTGACCAGAAGCCTTACCAATAGCATGAACAGTCAAGTGACACATATTTTGTGTTACATGTACTATATACTATATTCTTTCAATAAAGTAAGCTTAGAGAGAAGAAAATGTTAAGAAAATCATAAAGAGGAGAAAATACAATTATACTTCTGTACTGAATTTACCAAGAAAAATCCACGTATGAGTTGACTCACACAGTTCAGGTTCATGTTGTTCAAAAAAAAAAAAAAAAGAAGGAATGATCAAATAAAGGAAGACAGAATATATACCTTAACAAAATCTTCTTCACTTATTGGGGTGTTCTGAAGGCAGGCTTTATTTTCTACTTAGTAGAGATTATCAAGGAGGGAGGAATATGAGATTTTCATTGTCTGCCAAGTGGGTAACTTAAAAAAGCCTGGGAAGTATTAGTCTAATAGGAAGATCTCTGAATTGGGTATCTTTACTTCTCACCCTTGCCTTCTAACAATTAGTTGGATGCCATTAACCAAATTGGTTTTATTTTTATAGTTTGTTTTCTCTCTTTCATTTGATTAATGGGGATGACAATACATTCTCCACCTTTTTACTTGAGTAGTAATGAGAGTCAAAAAGGATAGTTGTCAAAGTTTACAGACTTATAAAAAGCCCTGTCTTTTTTTGTTTAATTATTATTTACAGGCTGCCTAAATTGTATCTTTGTGAATTCTGTCTAAAATATATGAAAAGTAGAACTATTCTCCAGCAGCACATGAAGAAATGTGGTTGGTTCCATCCTCCTGCCAATGAGATTTACAGAAAAAATAATATTTCTGTCTTTGAGGTAAAGTAGATGTTTTATAGTTGTCTTCCTGTCATTTCAAATATAGTGCCACCTATTCTGTGTCTAATTGTACTTGGGTTTTTTTGAAATGTTATTTTACTGTTGTACTCATGATTGAGTCCAGTAATTCAGCTATTATGATGAGAAGCAGAATTAGGCCAATCCAAATGGTACCAAGGTCACACAAGCTTGATCTCAGAATAAATTATTCTGTATTTCAGGATTCCATTTGGTATAAAATGCCAACTGATTGTTTATGTTTAGATGTGATAAAATTAGATAAATTAGATAAAATTAGAATCTATGAAATAGTATTTAAATGAAAAAAATTTTCTCTTGTTCTACTTAAAGGAATATTTTGTAGAGGTATATTCAATAGCCATAGTAAACCTTATTTTGTAAAGATACAAAAATATATTTTTTTTTCCGCTTCATCATGAGGATATGACTTGGGCTGTGTCTGTGATTCTGTGTTGTTAGTCCTGGGTTTCTGGCTTCTTGATCCTCAGTTCTGTGGTGTCATTGCCAGGTGTTAATTGAGTCCCTGCCACGTATTCGGTTCTGTTAATGACTGTGATAGGATTTCAGATTGTCGGGATCTGCTCAGTCTCTAACTTTCTTGATTTTCTCTACACCTTCATTTTAGGTGAGCAGTAGTGAAGCTCTTCACCTTGCGGGAAGGAGGGTGGGGGTGGTGTACAGTACTGTTTCAGAATACCCAAGAGCAAACTGCTTCTTACCTTAAGCACATATCGGTGTGTATTTTAAAAGAAGTAATACTGAGTTACTGAAATTCTTGAGTAGGTTTCTGTCCTGAAATGTCAGTGTCTTAGGGTTTAATGTGGGCATTCATTGGCCTTCACATAAAAGAACAAGCTCTGGCCACTCCCAGCAACACAGGTGTGTGTCGGGAGAAATACACTGTAGTGCTCCTGATCTTGCCAACCCAGTTCCAAGAAATATCTCATTTGCCAGGTTTCTACCTAGCGAACCTGCTTGGTGTTTCTGGCAATAGTTAATATTCCTGAAAACAGCTTTGTTTGGGGGTAAATCTGATCATTGTGGTCAGACTGCAGTGCTTTTGGCTGCTGGCATAGATAGGGCTATAGTTACACCTTGTTTTACTTAACAAATGTATTTTATTTTTTAATTTTTGTAAAGATTTTATTTCTTTATTTGACAGAGATCACAGGTAGGCAGAGAGGCAGGCAGAGAGAGAGGGAGAAGCAGGCTCCCCGCTCAGCAGAGAGCCCAATGCAGGGCTTGATCCCAGGCCCCGGGATCATGACCTGAGCCAAAGGCAGAGGCTTTAACCCACTGAGCCACCCAGGTGCCCCAACAAATGTATTTTAGAAAAGGTTGCTTTTAGATCTTTTGTTGAATTACTTTAAAAAAATGAGTCAGATCAGCTTGCCATCTGAGGGATTACAGCAGCCAATCTTGTTATAAAAGCAAAAAGTGCTATTTTTTAAAAGATTTTATTTATTAATTTGACACAGAGAGAGATCACAAGTAGGCAGAGAGGCAGGCAGAGAGAGAGAGGGGGAAGCAGGCTTCCTGCTGAGCAGTGAGCCAGATGGCCGGGCTCAATCCCAGGACCCTGAGATAATGACCTGAGCCGATGACAGAGGCTCAACCCACTGAGCCACCCAGCCGCCCCCCAAAAGTGCTATTTTTTTTTTTAAGATTTTATTTATTTATTTGACAGACAGAGATCACAAGTAGGGAGAAAGGCAGGCAAAGAGAGAGAGGAGGAAGCAGGCTCCCTGCTGAGCAGAGAGCCCGATGCGGGGCTCGATCCCAGGACCCTGGGATCATGACCTGAGCCGAAGGCAGAGGCTTTAACCCACTGAGCCACCCAGGCGCCCCCAAAAGTGCTGTTTTTAAAAGGGTCATCATTTCCCTGTCTAGCTAATCGTACTTTGTTCAGGTACAGTATTTTTATTTGTTTAGTTGTCTTAAAACAGCAGGTACCCTAATTCTGCTGTTGAAAGGATAGTTTCCAGGTTCTGGTCACCGATAGCTTCTCTTAGACTGGACTATGGATACTCACAGATATTTGTAAGTGATGTGCATTATTATTCTAGAACTAAAGAGCCACTTTCCTGATGATTTTGTTCTATTATTTTCCTCTAGGTTGATGGGAATGTGAGTACCATTTATTGTCAGAACCTGTGTCTCTTGGCAAAGTTGTTTCTTGACCACAAAACACTCTATTATGACGTGGAGCCATTTCTTTTTTATGTACTAACACAGAATGATGTCAAGGGCTGCCACCTTGTTGGCTACTTTTCTAAAGTAAGTATATCAGCTTAAAATTTGTTTGAATTCACACGGAAATCTGAAACAATCTTTGTCAGTTCTCACTGGAGACACTACACAATACAGCACCTTCTGGGTACCACCTAACTTTTTGGAAAGGAAAATAGAAGGAACATTCAGAAACGTACCAAGTGCTTGAAGGTGCTTAGTAACATTCAACATACTGTACTCTCCTAGGAACATGGGCTGCCATTTATACTCAAGAGAAAAAGTTTTTAAATGACTTCTCTTCCCATGGTAATAACTTACCGTGAACTTGTGAAATAAACACAGTCATTACCTCTGTGAGCTCCTTCTCAGTTTAAATCTTCTCTTCCAAGTTTAAATTTGAAGAATAGAAATAAGAATAAGATGCCATTTTTATTCAAGGATATTTTCTCTCCTTCCTGTAATCTTCCATTCTCTTGGGGAGAACAAAAGGTGTTTTTTTTTTAGTCAAACAACATAAAGTTGTACTTTTATTTAAGCTAGCCTATGAAAAAATCTTACGTGTATGAAATAGTTACATGGAAATACCAGCTTTAAGTATACCAGTTAAGTATACTTTTATATATATTACCTGAGTTTTAAAAGTGTCTACTCCCGACATTTTGAGATTGTTTTTTGTGAAGTTAGGTACAACTGATGGGAAGATGGGACTGCCCTATGTAGCACCAGAGCAGGAAATAAGAGAATCTTTGAAGTGGTAGATGAATTTTCCCATTTTTAGAGTGCCACACTGACTCATCATTTATAGCTTTGCAGATTGATTGGGACTCAGATTCCTCTGCTCATTTTAGGCAATGGCATACTGTTTCTGAGTTACAGATGGTGTTAGATCGCATAATTTTATGTTATTCTTACTCTCCTGGGGAGGTTGCTTTGTGGGTAATGGCAATGACTTAATATTGTCCTGTCTCCTCCCAGTGGGGTATTTTTTTTTTTTTTCTTGATGTGCGTGCTATTCTCAAAGGACCAGGGCTTTGGTTTTGATTGTTAGTCTTTGTTTCTTTTTTTTTTTTTTTTTTTTTTTAAGATTTTATTTATTTATTTGACAGACAGAGATCACAAGTAGGCAGAGAGAGAGAGAGAGAGAGGAGGAAGCAGGCTCCCTGCGGAGCAGAGAGCCCGACACGGGGCTCGATCCCAGGATCCTGGGATCATGACCTGAGCTGAAGGCAGAGGCTTTAACCCACTGAACCACCCAGGTGCCCCTGTTAGTCTTTGTTTCTTAATAATTAACATTATTATTCAGTCTTACTCGCATGTTGTTCTAAAATCTTCTTTACCAGGAAAAGCACTGCCAACAGAAGTACAACGTTTCCTGTATAATGATTCTTCCCCAATACCAGCGTAAGGGCTATGGCAGGTTTCTCATCGATTTCAGTAAGGATTATAATAATATAATTTTTCATTATCTCTTCTTGTGGACCTTCTGTATATATATATTTTTAGAGATTTGTAGATGTTTATTGGTTCCTAGTATCTTTCGTCATACTGCAGTATAGGACTTTGGAAACCTAAAGTCATGAATTTTTTTCTTTTGATTGGACATGAAGTATTTTAAAATAGCTTACACCAAATACCAGCTTTGTGTGATGTATGCAAGTTCTTTGAATTTTCAACTCTTAATTTACAGGTGGAACTTAATTTTATGATAATTCTAACTCACAGCAATACTCAATACATTGTATAACTACTTAAGCTAGTACAGTAAAGAAGTACAGCACTTGCCTTATTTTTGTTACCTAATCTGAGAAAATTTTTAGTAACTTTAGTTATGGGCTCTACCTAGTGGTTGAAACATGCAGTGCACCTTAAAAAATTTTAAAAATAAATGGCATAGGAAATAATTTAATCAGACGTGAAAGCTAAGCAGCTCTAAAAAGTCATTGTAGAATTTGAATTTTGTTTTACGTGTTGATATTCTTGCTTAGAAAGTAAGTATATGTTTACAATAGATTTTATATTAATTATAACAGTGATTTTTGAGGGAATATTTTGATACAGGCAGTTCTTCTAAATATTAGATGATTGTATCACTAGTGTTAAGAAGTTAATTCTCAGATGGACCAGTTCAGCTTATTCTAGTTGGCCTTAGACTATACTCCTGACCATATTTTATTGGAAATATGTGCCATTGATTATTTTGTATGTTTTCTTGGCCTTCTTAGATTAGTAGTAGAGAGTGCAACTCCGATTATTTTCTTTAATATCAATATATTGTTTTGAAAAACGACTCATGTTTGGATATGTTATGCCATTTTTGCCATTAAGTAGCAAAGTTAGAGGAAAATATTTTATTATGCTAATTAGTTATACTTTTGTGATACACAGCCAGCAATCTACGATTACAGTATTTGTTTTCATTTGCTTTTCCTAATGTAATCTTTATTTTCTCACATAACTATTCACAGACTGCTTTTAGTAGTTTTCTTTGGTGACAAAAAACTGCATTTCTTCTGACATCTCCATTGTTGCTGCTCTTAGAATTTATACCTTTCTCTTTCTGTTCTTGAGAGTCCTGCTCTGGACAGGAGGATAGATACCACCATACACTCTCAGGGACACCCTCACGCTGACATCCTTGCTCACTAAGAGTTAAGGTGAAAGGTCAGTGTGAGGAGTGCTTTGGCTGAAGTGAGAAGTTGCCATCTGATTCACTCACAGAAGAACCACAGTCTTAACAGATAGGATTACCTAAAAAAACGAAGGCATTCTTTTGTATTGTTCAACAATTCAGGTATAGCTGTTGCCATCTGGTGGTCCTAATAAAACATGCAAGGGAGGTTTTCCCCACATAAAATAAAAAGCATTATTACCTTAATCTTAATGCATCATATTAATATGAAGTCCTCTGATTTTTTTAACGATTTGAATATTTTAACAATGTGATTTATAGTACATATGGACAAAGTAATACTTAACTAATGTTCAGTATATACAAATTACATAATCTTGTGCAAATGTGTGTTGAAATGATTTTTCAGTTTTGTTCTATACTACTTAGATTGGTTGTGGAAGAGGGAACTGTTATTTTGGTGAATTAGCCTATTTTAGGCTCTCTGACATATTTGTGATTCGGGGGTTTCTTTAGGTTATTTGTTATCAAAGCGTGAAGGCCAAGCAGGGTCTCCAGAGAAACCATTATCCGATCTAGGTCGTCTTTCCTACATGGCTTATTGGAAAAGTGTAATATTGGAGTGCCTTTATCACCAAAATGACAAACAAATCAGCATTAAGAAGTTAAGCAAGTTGACTGGAATTTGCCCTCAAGACATTACTTCCACACTCCACCACCTACGAATGCTGGACTTCCGTTGTGACCAGTGAGTATCACATCTCTTTGTATACTTTCAAAAGATAATTAGATGGAGATGTTTGGATCAGGCAGCCAGATTATCAGTGAAAGGGCATAAACAAATATAAGTGGTACATTTGGTGATCCTGAGACATCATTTTTGTTTCTATATTTGATACCATTTACCACATTTTTTTAAAAACCATTTTTTCTCATCTTTCTTCTAACTTTTAGACCTAAGCTATAGGGGCTTTTCTTTTCTAATGCTGGGAGCGCCTTCACGATACAAGAAGTAACGGCTTTAGAAATAACGTCTAGTAAAATATACCCATGATTTATTTCTATATAAGGTGGTACAAAATACAGGTTAAAGGAATTTCACCTCACCCTTATCTAGAGGGGTCAGGAAAAGATCACAGAGAAAGGAAGGAGGCACTGGGCTGGAAAGATGGAGGTTAGGAGATAGGATACAGGAGAGTAGCAGCAATTGCAGAGGTGGGAAGTGTGAGACAGTGAATGTTAACATCACTTCATACATTGTTCTCATTGAGCATGAAGTAGCTGGCCAACTTCATATTTCCTAGCCATCTCATATGTTGGCATATTTCTGTATTTCATGCTCCTAGGTGGGCTGTATTTGAAGCATTTGTCATCATCTCCAAGGTTTTCTGGGGGTTATAGCTCCATATTCATGGTTAGATATTCCTTGTACGTTGTTGATTGCTATAAACTTTGCTCTGGTTCCAGATTTGTGATAATTCGCCGGGAAAAACTTATCCAGGATCACATGGCAAAGCTTCAGCTGAATTTGCGACCTGTAGATGTAGATCCAGAATGTTTGCGCTGGACTCCTGTCATTGTCTCCAATTCTGTTGTCTCCGAGGAGGAAGAAGAGGAGGCTGAGGAAGGAGAAAACGAAGAGCCGCAGTGCCAGGAAAGAGAATTAGAGACGAGTGTAAGGGCATGAGTAGTCTCTATTTTTGATGAAAGAAGGCTCTATTTTTGGTTTTCATGAGTATCTGTGATAATGTGTTACAATAACTTAAACCAATACAGTCAATTCACATTAGAATTTCAGTTGATTTCAGTGATAGAGATTTCAGGAAGACTGGGTTTTGTTTACCTATTTGTATATTTTTAAGCCTTGGATCATTTGGAGACCTTCAAATTTGTTACAGTGTGTTATTTAGAACTAAGAATTCCATACCAGAGTGCTGATAAACGGCTAAATTTTAAGCTATGTGGCAGTAACTGAGGAATCTGGATCTAATTTAATTCTGACCATTGTTAAAAATAAAATGAAGATCCCTTTTCCTTAAAACATTAAGGAAATAATGTAAACGTGTATGTTTTCTAGTAGAGCACTAAATAATTCAGTGGGTACGCAAATGTCTTTCAAACATTAAAGAGTTAATGAGGGACTGTAAAACATTGTATAGTGTTCAGTATTTTTCTTTATGTGATGCATATCTTTCTCTGTTCTTTTTTTAAGCTGTGCTTTCGTCCTTTAAAAATCTATGTCCTCCTTTGATAAACACAGTTTCACGCCCGTTTAATGTAATTTAATTTTTAAAATGAAATTAAATATTCAGAATAAAAATAAAAATAATTACAGACATTTTCTTTCATTTTTTTCAAACACCCCCTTTCTCTTGCCCATGTCCCAGAACCCATCTCCTCTCTGTTTATTAATTTTATTGCTGAGAAATTTGGTAAATTATATCACTTAGCCTTTATAAGAACAATGCTGTTCACTTTGTCTTTTGAAGGTGGGTTGCATAGTGGCTAAGAGCGCTAGCTCTTGGGTCAGACTGCCTAGGTTTAGATCCCAGCTTCCACATTTGCCATTGCATGTCCTAGGGCAAGTTACTTGTATTTTTTGTGCCTCACTTACCTTATTTATAAAATGAGGATATAATAATAACACTTCATAGTATTGTTGTAAGGATTAAATGAATCTTATAAAGCATTTAAAATAGTGCCTAACACATGAGAAATATTCATGATAGCTATCAAATAATACTTTCTTTTTTAAAGCTCTGTTTCCTTTCTCTGTATTTAAGAGGTCAGATAGGAGGTATAATCAGATAAGACTGCAAAATTAATCAGCATGGTTTTATTTTATGAAATCAGGTGGGAAAGTCTGCATCTCGGGAGAACAAAGAACAAGATTCTTATTCTTCAGTAGAAAGTGAAAAGAAACCAGAAGTCACGGCACCAGCCAGTTCCGCACGTCTGAACAAACAAGTCCTTCCCCGTGATAGTCTTCCTGCAAATAATCAGCCATCCCGGAGAGGCCGCTGGGGGAGGAAGAACAGAAAAACCCAGGAACGTTTTGGTGATAAAGATTCTAAACTGCTCTTGGAAGAGACATCAACTCCTCAGGAACAATATGGAGAATGTGAGGAAAAATCAGAAACCTCCCAAGAACAATATACTGAAAGTGAGGAGCAGTTGGCAGCCTCTCAGGAGCAGCCAAGCCAGGATGGGAAGCCAGACATTCCCAAAAGAAGACTAAGTGAGGGGGTTGAGCTGTGGCGAGGACAGCTGAAGAAGAGCCCCGAGGCACTGAAGTGTAGATTACCAGAAGGCAATGATAGACTGCCCCGTCGCTATAGTGATGGTGACAGGGCTCTCCTCAGAGGCTTCAGTGAGAGTAGTGAGGAGGAAGAAGAGCCAGAAAGTCCTCGGTCCAGCTCTCCACCAATTCTTACAAAGCCCACATTGAAGAGAAAAGTAAGGTTTTTCTTTTGACTTGTTTCTTTTGACTCGTCTGTTCTTTCCCCAGTGGCAGCTTATTATGCACATCTGTCTATAATGGAGTTCTGAAAAAGTAAATATAGAAATTGTTAGTGTGTTAATTTTTTAGACTTTATGTCTCGGTATATTGTAGCTTATGATTTTCCCAGTGAACATTTGAAACGTGGATATGGCTCCTGTGGTTCATGGGAATGAACGTAGACGTCATAAACTTACTTAAGGGCTGACAAACTGTTTTTCAGCTTGCTGTTTTGAGGTGGTAATCATGACTTTCAGGGATTTGTCAAGTATTTTAAAAGTACGTATAAATTAGAAATGCCTGTGTTAGAAAAGGAGAAAAGTATCTGACAGCTTGATGGACAGAGGTGCCCTAGGTCAGGGTACTCAGGCTGTTCGTCGTAGGTGGGGTGGGACTTTTTTCCCCTGTGTTCTCTTGTCCCCTCTCCATCTCTCCCTTTTTTCTTTCAGTCGTTCAACTTAACTTGGTTTTAAAAATATTTTCTCAACTTTATCTTGTCATTTTGCAGACTTTGAATGATAGCCAGTTTATAAATGTGTTGTGATCACAACACATGTCCCAGGCTGTGGAGTGAACTTTAAGCATTGCCACAAGCCAGCCAGAGCCCAGCCCCCTGGATGAGCCACCTCAGAGTAGCGGGGTGACAGCTTTCATCCAAAGCAGTGAAACTGTTCCTTTCCTTAGCAGAACCTTATGAGGGGGGAAAAAAAAGCATGGCTATATATAAAAAAATAAGTTTTTAATTTTAGAACAGTTAGATTTATGCAGTTATTGCAGAGAAAGTACAGAGAGTTCCTGTATTCCTTACAGGCAGTTTCCCCTGTTGTTAACCTCTTACATTGGTATAGTATTTTGCCACGAATAGTGAGCTAGTATTTTTTTTAACTTGAGTCCATACTTCATTTAGATCTCCTCAGTTTTCCTGTATGCCCTTCTTCTGTTCCAAGACCTCATCTAGCACACCACATTACACATACTATTCATGCCTCTGGCCCCTCTTGGTCATGATAGTTTCTCAGACTCCTTGTTTTTGATGACCTTTACAGTTTGATGAGTACTGGCTAGGTATTTTAGAATGTCCCTCATAATATTAGAATGGGGTAATATGTTTTTGGGAAGAAGACCACAGAGGTACAGTGTCATTCTTATCACATCATATAAAGGATGTCTGAATATATATGTATGTATACACACACATACACACCAAACATGATAGTATTATTGTCAGTATGACTTTTCACTGTTGATATCAGCCTTGATCAACAGGTTTGAGGTTGTGTTTGTCAGGTTTCTCCACTGTAAATCAGTCACTCCTTTTTTCCCCTTTCCTGTACTGTACTCTTTGGAAGGTAGGTAGTCATTGCCATTCCCACCCATCTCTTTACTTATTCAAGCACTTACTTATACCAGCTTAAACTCAAATATTTACTTTATACTTTGAGTTATACCCAGCAGTACCACTTGATTTAATTTGTTGCTCAGATTGTTCCAGCATTGGCCATTAGGAGTCTTTAAGTTTTGCTCCCATCTCCCTTTAACTTAATGCGTACTATCATCATTATAAGGGTTTTTTGTTTTGTTTTGAGCACTTCCTTAACTTTCTAGTACTGCAGGATATTCTCGGTTCATCTTGTATATTTCACGTCCCAGTTCTAGAGTCAGCCATTTTTCCAAGGAGCATAGTCAGACATGCTTAACCTGGTTTGAAAATTGTACTCTCAACTAAAAGGACTAGTAAATTTAAATTTGAAGTGGAGAAAAACTCAACACAGGCTAACTCTGCCATTCATTACGTGATCAGGAAGAATGTATCTTTGCCATTTCAGGCTTGTATTGCCTATTTATAAGATAAAAGTTATGCTATTTCCTTGTGTAAACATGAGAATATTGTAATAGGCAGTGAGATCATACACAAAATAATTGAAGTTCTTAAAGAGATTCTCTTGACTGGGAGTCAGAGACTATATTTTACAACCATTTTTATACTGACTGGATATGTGACCTTAAGCAAGCCCTGTAACCTTTCTCACCTCTATAGAATGAAGGATTGGATTAGATCATTTCTGGTGCATCGTCTTTATCATTTTGTTGTATCTATTATGAGCTATGAGACAAAGTGTTGTTTTTTTTTTCTTGAGGTAAAAAGATGTTAAAGGACTAGCTTCTGTGTCGTTTCAATATTGAAATGGGCATTTAAATGTAACAACTATTAATAAGGGAATTATAGTATCTGCTCTTTGGGCATGCCTTTTATAAAGTTGTATTCAATTATCCAACATCTTTCTGTGATAACTATGTGTAGTATCTTACTGTAGTATTTTGAAATAATACTCACAATGTCTCTTTGCAAACAGTATACCCATTTTATATATGCTTATTTTGTTAGATTCAAAAACCATTATGTTAATAGAAACATTTTTGTTAACATATTTTGTTAGATTTGTTATGTTTTGTTAACATATTTTGTTAGATTTAAAAACCATTATGTTAATAGAAATGATTGCATTCTTTACGTTAATGTTCTTCCTCTTTTAAATAGAAACCAATTCTTCACCGAAGGAGGAGAGTCCGAAAGCGCAAACACCACAACAGCAGTGTGGTCACAGAAACTATTTCTGAGACCACGGAGGTGTTAGATGAACCTTTTGAAGACTCTGACTCCGAGAGGCCAATGCCAAGATTAGAACCTACGTTTGAGATTGATGAAGAGGAAGAGGAAGAGGATGAAAGTGAACTCTTCTCTAGAGGATACTTCCGTCGTCTCTCCTCACAAGATGTGCTCAGGTGTCGGTCCTCTTCAAAGAGGAAATCTAAAGATGAAGATGATGATGAAGAGTCAGATGATGCTGATGGTATGTTTTACAGAACTGTTGCTTAGGGTAGTTTTATTGTTTTTAAAGAAACAGGCTGTAAGTGATAGCTGCACGCCCTTCCACCAAAAGGCTGAAAAAAACGACTCTCCCCACTAAGCAAGTAAAGGATGGCCGACTTGGTAACCTCTCAGAATTTGTGTCAAGTATATTCATCTCCATTTTTTCTTTGAGCCCTCTGTCCTTTTAAAGTTTTTTTTCTAGTTTCCCCTTCAACATAGGACCAATTTTTGCCTCTGCAGAAAGTATCTTGCTCTTAGGAAATTATTCTTTTTGGCCTAATCCTTTCTCAGCCATTATATGAATCTTTAGTAAATGGATGTATTGGACTTAGCATCAGGAAAATATTGAAATAATAACCCTTTACTAGAAAGTACACTCCGTGTACTTAGCTGTTTGTCTAATTGTTGTATGCTGACTGCTTAAAATAGGCATTTAATAAATATTGCTAAGTGGATACATGCTAGGAAGATGGTTTGGTTTGTTTTTTTTTTTTTAAAGATTTTATTTATTTATTTGACACACAGAGATCACAAGTAGGCAGAGAGGCAGGCAGAGAGAGAGAGAGGAGGAAGCATGCTCCCTGCTGAGCAGAGAGGCCTGATGTGGGGTTCCATCCCAGGACGCTGGGATCATGACCTGAGCCGAAGGCAGAGGCTTTAACCCACTGAGCCACCCAGGCACCCCTAGGAAGATGGTTCTTAAATAAGATCAGATTCGTATAAACTGGACTTGCTTCAAATCTGATCAGGAATCCTTCTGAATCATATCTCTAATGTGCCTTTCTCTGCAAGTAGTAAACTTCTGATAAAAATGGTAACAGTGCCTCAGGGTAGGTTAAATTTTATGGCATAGTGTAGAATCTGGTGATTTACTTTTAAATAGCCTTGTCATTAGAAATAAAGAAGCTGGTGGCCAGTATATGTATGTGCTGGGTCACAGATAAGTCATTTACATCCTACCCTAAAGTTTCTGCCAGTGCCTCATGGTGCCTCCATCTGCGGTGTTTGCCTTAACTGGGGTGAGGGTGGGGGGAGTCAGACAGTGCTTTTTTTTACTTTGCTGGGTGAATTTTAAGTAATCTAGTCGTCCACTCTTGGTGGAATTATAGTGTTTATTTGTTAATTGAGCTTTTTATTCTTTAAAAATCAAATTTGCTCAATTTCATACCCAGTTGAAACTTGCATTTTCTCCACTCTCACATTTTTATTTAAGAAATACTTGTAATATAGTGATAAGATGACTGAGTGCTTTGCTGTGAGTGATTTTCCGCAGGTTTATTGTGTTACACTTTGAGGTATATAATGGGAAACCAAAGATTTATTGTGTAAATTTGGCCCTTCAGTAAAATTCTCTCTTGGATCATTGTAGACTGAAATAATATCCCCTGTTTAAATTCTTGTTGACTTGGACAAATTTTCTCTGATGGGGCCATTTCCTTTCTTTATTTTCACGTTATTGCCAACCGTGCCTTTTTAGCTTCCTCCTCGAAATCCTGTTTCTTGCCTTGTGTTCTTCCCTTTAAAAATTAATGGGAAATGTAATGTACTTAATGCCATACCACACCGGACACCTAAACTTGGTCGAAGTGGTACATTTTCTGCTATGCGTAGTTTACTACAATCTTTAAAAATAGAAAAAAAGTAATGGGGAGAAAATAATGCTAATGTCAAATTTATTTCTAATAAATCATTGTCATTGGTGCTTTCACTTTTTCTTCAGGTCAGTATTTGTCTCATACTAAATGCCTTGCGGCTGTTCCCGTACCAACACAACATCGATTGAGCAGTTATTCGTGTAGAATTGTTCAGTCGTGGTCTGGGGTAATTAACTCATGGTATTACCTGAAGTAATAAGGAAACCAGAGAGAGAATATAAATTGCAAACAGGAAAAAATAAGAAAGAAAGGAGCTGATTTTTGACTTACACTGTAGTTGTAATCACTGCCAAGCATTTGCCTCTTTACACAGCTTGTCTCCGTTTTCTAGAGGAGAACACTGACCTGTAGAATAACTTCCTAAAGCTGTGCAGTTGGGGATGATAAACCTGAACTGGTTTTAAGTAGTGGGAGGCAAAGAGTGTTGACCTGGGTTCTTTCCTTGTTCTGCCAGCTCACTGCTTGACCTCGGTAGAGGTCATTATTAGGTTTCTCCTTTAGATTCTTAACTTGAAAGTGAAGGTAATCAGAAGTTTGTGAGGATTAATAAAACCGTTTCTGTTGCACATGTGGTCTCAGAAAAAGGCACTGGTACAAATACAAAATCTTGTAACTTTTTTTTAATGTGTTGTTTTTTTTTTTTTAATCCTTCCTGTATAGATACTCCTATCCTAAAGCCAGTATCACTCTTGAGAAAATGTGATGTGAAGGATTCTCAGCTTGAGCCAGATACATCCACACCTATGAAAAAGAAAAAGGGATGGCCCAAAGGCAAAAGCCGCAAACCAATCCACTGGAAGAAAAGACCTGGTCGCAAACCAGGATTTAAGTTGAATCGGGAAATCATACCCGTTTCTACTCAAGAATGCATTGTTGAGCCCATTGTTCCCATTCCTAAACCGGGACGTAAACCCAAACTTCAAGAGAATGAAGAAACGGTCGAACCAAAAGAAGACTTGCCTTTAACTGAAGAAAGGAAGGAAGAGGAGGAGATGCACGTGGAAGCAGAAGAGGTTGAAGAGGGAGAAGAAGAAGATACAACCAGCAGCGAAGTTAGAGCAGCTTCTCCAGTGGATAGCAACAGTCCCGAGACCGAAACGAAAGAACCCGAGATTGAAGAGGAGGAAGAGAAGCCCCGTGTTTTAGAAGAGCAGAGGCAATCCGAAGAGGAGCAGCAAGAACTGGAAGAACAGGAGCAAGAGGAAGAGGATGAAGTGGCTGTAGAGACAAACCAGAATGAAGACCATGATGCGGATGATGAAGATGATGGCCATCTGGAAGCTACCAAGAAAAAAGAGCTAGAGGAGCAGCCCACTAGAGAAGATGTCAAGGAGGAGCCTGGTGGTCAGGAGTCTTTTTTAGATACTAATATGCAGAGAAGTAGGGAGAATATAAAGGATAAAGATGAAACAGACCCAGATTCTGAAGAGGAACAGACTTCCCATGAAACATCCGTGGTTTCAGAGCATGTGCCAGGGTCTGAGGATGATCACGAAGAAGATTCAAACTCCAAGGAAGAATTAGTTGAGCTGAAAGAGGAAGAAGAGATTCCTCATAGTGAACTGGACCTGGAAACCGTGCAAGCAGTGCAGTCTTTGACTCAAGAGGAGAGTAACGAGCACGAGGGAGCCTACCAGGACTGTGAAGAAACTCTGGCAGCCTGTCAGACCCTGCAGAGTTACACTCAGGCTGACGAAGACCCTCAGATGTCCATGGTTGAAGACTGCCATGCTTCGGAACATAATAGTCCAATCTCTTCTGTTCAGTCCCATCCCAGCCAGTCAGTCCGCTCGGTCAGTAGTCCCAACGTGCCTGCACTCGAAAGTGGTTACACCCAGATCAGCCCAGAACAAGGATCCCTGTCCGCACCCTCTATGCAGAACATGGAGACCAGCCCCATGATGGATGTGCCTTCCGTATCAGACCACTCTCAGCAGGTGGTGGACAGTGGCTTCAGTGACCTGGGCAGCATCGAGAGCACCACGGAAAACTACGAGAACCCCAGCAGTTACGATTCGACCATGGGCGGCAGCATCTGTGGGAATAACTCTTCGCAGAGCAGCTGCTCCTACGGGGGCTTGGCATCCTCCGGCAGCCTCACCCAGAACAGCTGTGTTGTCACTCAGCAAATGGCCAGCATGGGCAACAGCTGCAGCATGATGCAGCAGAACAGCGTGCAGCCCGCCGCGGCCAACTGCAACATCAAGTCCCCTCAGAGCTGTGTGGTGGAGAGGCCTCCCAGCAACCAGCAGCAGCCGCCACCCCCGCCGCCCCAGCAGCCGCAACAGCAGCAGCCGCCGCCCCCGCCGCCGCAGCAGCCGCCGCAGCCACCGCAGCCGGCACCCCCGCCGCAGCCGGCCCCGCAGCCGCCGCCGCCTCAGCAGCCGCAGCAGCCGCCACCGCCCGCCCCGCCGCCACCGCAACCCCCGCAGCCACAGCCCCCGCCGCCACCGCAGCAGCAGCCCCCGCTGTCCCAGTGCAGCATGAACAACAGCTTCACTCCCGCGCCCATGATCATGGAGATTCCGGAATCGGGAAGCACGGGGAACATAAGCATTTATGAGCGGATTCCGGGGGACTTCGGGGCTGGCAGCTACTCTCAACCGTCAGCCACCTTCAGTTTAGCCAAGTTGCAGCAGCTGACTAACACCATTATGGACCCTCATGCCATGCCTTATAGCCATTCTCCTGCTGTGACTTCCTATGCAACCAGTGTTTCCTTGTCTAACACAGGGCTGGCGCAGCTGGCTCCGTCTCATCCATTAGCTGGGACCCCTCAAGCACAAGCCACCATGACGCCGCCCCCGAACTTGGCCTCCACCACCATGAACCTCACATCACCTCTGCTACAGTGCAACATGTCTGCCACCAACATTGGCATTCCTCACACACAGAGGTTGCAAGGGCAAATGCCGGTCAAGGGGCACATTTCCATCCGCTCCAAATCGGCGCCGCTGCCCTCTGCGGCTGCGCATCAGCAGCAGCTGTACGGCCGCAGCCCACCAGCGGTTGCCATGCAGGCCGGCCCGCGTGCGTTGGCTGTTCAGCGTGGCATGAACATGGGGGTTAATTTGATGCCGACCCCCACCTATAATGTCAATTCCATGAATATGAACACCTTGAATGCCATGAACAGCTATCGAATGACACAGCCCATGATGAACAGCAGTTACCATAGTAACCCTGCCTACATGAACCAGACAGCACAGTATCCTATGCAGATGCAGATGGGGATGATGGGGAGCCAGGCCTATACCCAGCAGCCTATGCAGCCAAACCCTCATGGAAACATGATGTACACTGGCCCCTCCCATCACAGCTACATGAATGCTGCTGGTGTGCCCAAGCAGTCACTCAATGGACCTTACATGAGAAGATGAGCAAGATGAACTTGCAATTAAAAACTTAAATATATATAAATAAAGGAACCTTTTATACTGACAAACCAGAGAAAAATGGACCTTTTTCCAGTTAAAATATTGCTGTAGATTTAGAGGAATTTTTCTTTGGTTTATTTTATTTTTTAGAAAACCTGGTCTTCTCTTTTTTTGGGTTCATTTTTTTCTGGGTTTTGGTTTTCTTCACAATCTTGAACATTTTACAATAGAACTCATCTAAAAATGGATTTGGGGATAGGGGAAACATGCACAAAAATCTTTTCATAATTAAAAAGAGCCTTACTTTCTTTACACACCACATGGACAGAATTTGTGTAAAAGTGAATTATCTTTATTTTATTTTAAGATGTATGTTTCCCCTCACTGTTTGCAGCTCCCAATGTTGTCACTTTTAAATGTTATATATACATCTCGGGGGGTTAACCAGACCCTTTCCTCCTAACCCAACCTTTCATTTCCTACTTCATTCCAGCAGGAGGCACTTACGGGAGACTCGGACGGGGACATGGAGAACAACCCAAGCTCCTTAAACTTATTATTATTGTTAATATTATTATTATTATTATTATTAATAAAGCGAGGCAGGAAAGTGCTTCTCCTTTTAAAATCCCCTCCACTCCCTACACACACAAACACACACACACACACACACACCCACCTTTTGAAACCTTTCCCCAAGAATGTTTCTTTATAGATGGACTTCATTGAAATGTTTTTCTTAAATCAAGTGTAATATAATTTTTTCTTTTTTTCTGTTGTTTTTGTTTGTTTGGGTTTTTTGTTTGTTTGTTTGTTTACTATTCCCACTCAGCACTCAGAGACACAAAAGTACTGTAAGTCTCAATTAACAGCAGAATCTCAGAGGAAAGCTGTTTGCAATCCTAATCCAGCTTTGGAGGAATAGAGATGGTCAATTAACAATCAAAAAGAGGAATTTTGCCTCTTGTTTTTTACCACCTGGTGAATCAGCCATAATGCACATACTCCACGCAGCCTCTTGTTTTAGTATGTACTTTGAGATGCTAAGGGTCTTGATTCTTGAGCCTTCGACTCTGACTAAACTCAAACAGCAGTCCCCAGTGATTAGCCTCTTACATTCTTACATAAAGTGTTGATGGATGACTGTGCATTTCAGTGATTTGAAAAATACCTGACAAACATTTGACACTGTTTATTTTATGTTGGAAGAGATGACGTAAGGGAGATCATGGTGTGAGTGTTATAGCTACTTTAATGATACATACCTCCAGTTTTCATTTGTCTTGAGATCCTGAGTTCATTCCCTGTGAATCAGAGTGCACCAGCCCCTCTCCTGTGAGTGGTTAAAAGCGAAGAGGGATAAACCAACCACCAGCATACTAGGGCAAATCTGGACAGCAGGGTTTAGCAGATTCCTATGTTGCTCCCAACTCCCATTATTTTTTCTCTCGTGCAGCCAGTTCGCCCATTCTCTTCCTGTTACTTGCTCCAGGGATAGGTAAAAAATATATATATATCTATATATATGTTCCATCATTAGAAGATGGAAACTATTATACCACTTGGTATGTGCAGTCAAATATCCAAAAGGGGGAAGTACTGCTTAAAGAAATACCTGTAAGCATTAAATTCTCTCCTTTATTTGTACATTTTATATAGATAAATTTTTGAAGTACTAATTAGGCATTAAATTTTTTCAAATGCACAGGTTTGTTTTTTTTTTAATACACTTTAATTGACTTTCTCAATTAAATGTGTTAGGTAGAAAACGGCAGAATTCCACATCTTAACCGCTATCAATTCTGAGCATGTGCAAGGCTGTGTAGGACCCAGTTTCTCTGTATATACTCTTCCAGTTCCCAATCATCTATGTAGAAAGTGCACTGTGCTGCCCTCTTCCTACATCTTCAGCTATGTCATTGCTTCCTGGTTGGGGTGGGGATGGGGTGGGTCGGGAGGGAGGTATCTTGGGTGGAGGGTGGGTCAAGGCAGAAGGAGAAGCTGTTGAAATGAGGGCCGTGAATTCAGTTTCTGTTGGTTTGAGGTTGTGTTTGGTTTCATTTGTTTCTTTAAAAAAAAAAAAATTCAATCGGGCAGCTCCCTTTTCCACAAGCCTTTTTGTGACTGTAGAACTATTGTAGAGAAAATGTTCTTTTCTATATTATAAAAGAAATTATCCAACACAGTAATATTGGTACCTGTCATTTTTTCACTTCTGTTTAAAAAAAATGTATTTTTAGCAAGATAACTTGGGTAATCTTCTAAAAAAGAAATTTAAAAACTCACTGTTAGTGACTTTGATGCCTTTTAAAATAAGAGCTTTTTCATTTCATTCCATCTTTAAAATTTTTTATCTTTGTTGTAGAATATTAAAAACTATTTTAAGAAAGATAAAAATTCTCTTTAAAGAGATCTCTAGAGTGTGTGAATAGAGCTCCAGATGCCTCTAAAAGCCGCATGTACAAATGAAGCTAAGTCTATTCCTGTCTGTTTATATTTGCTTTTCCTGTTTTGTAACCTCTTTGTACTTTGTTCATGGTGACTTGTAAGCTACGGGGAAGGGGTGCCTAGATGCCTTTGTATTTCTCCATGTCATGCGCTCCTGGGCCAGTTGGTCTCCCTTCCTCTCCTTGTATGTAATATCACTTTTTTTTCCCCTTTCTAGCAAGTACTTTCAAAAGAACTCTGTACATTTTAACATAAAAAAAATAAATTATGTTGAGCCATTTTGGATGTCTGCCTTGCATGTGGAATTTTTCTCCCAAATATCTCGGGCTCGCCGGTTCTTTATAAATATTGGCCTTTTTCACATTTCTCATTATATAGCAAGTGTCAGTTCATGGCCTTTACTTTGAAATGCCAGTTTTCACTCATATGTGTGTTTAAAGGCTGACAGTGTAGATAGTTTTTCCTCTTCCAGTGCAAATGGTATCATGACCTCACTTTGGATTTTTGAGGGAAATCCATTTGAAAGCCTAAAGGGACTGTAATTCACTCAACCGAAGAACGGAAATGCAGTTGCACTAACAAGTAGCTCCTAGGATTGGAACAAAGCTGTTTTCTCCTCTCAGCTTACCTGATCATGTCATCGAGGGAGGTTTGCCAGAAATCGAGGTCCTGAACGTTAATGATCTTTTTCAATGTTTTCCGAGTTGTGGTACTTGGCCTCTCTTCATTTAGAAATTTGGATACAAGGTAGACTCCAGAAAATTAGATTTTCTAATCTAATTTAGAACTGACAGCTGGGGGTGGGGAGGTAAGGCAGGTACAAGGTTTAGCGGCCACACTTTCTTGATTTAGGATTTTACCAAGTGTCTGTGAATAGTACCGATAGCAGACATTTGTTTGCCGTCTCACGCCATTCAGGTTTTAGGCCATGTAGTCCAGTTGTCTCCAGAAAAGAAATGATTCGTTTCCCTTTATGTCCTCTGCTTACTTAAGTAACCCAAAGGACCTTGGACCCTTGGACCCAAAGGCTGTCACTTGTACTATGCAGTCATTAGTGGACTATCCCCAAAACAAGCTTCTTGTCTTTGCTACTGCACACTACGTGCTTTAAATGAATTCAACATAAAGCAATTCTGATTTTTTTTTTTTAAGATTTTATTTATATCAGAGAGAGATGGCATAAGGCAGAGGAGAGGCAGAGGGAGAGGCAGAGGCAGAGGGGAAGTCTCCCTGCTCAGCAGCAGCTCAATCTCAGGACTCTAAGATCATGACCTGAGCTGAAGGCAGACACTTAACCAACTGAGCCACCAAGGCGCCCCCAATTCTGATTCTTCTACAAAGGACATGTGACCCAAAGAATGTGTGATACACTTTTTTTTTTTTTAAAGATTTTATTTATTTATTTGACAGAGATCACAAGTAGGGAGAAAGGCAGGCAGAGAGAGAGGGAAGCAGGCTCCCCGCAGAGCAGAGAGCCCGACGCGGGGCCCGATCCCAGAACCCTGAGATCACGACCCGAGCCGAAGGCAGAGACTCTAACCCACTGAGCCACCCAGGCGCCCCTGTGATACACTTTTTAAAGTGTTAACACCTCCACTATATTTAAATTACACTTAAAATATAACTTGAATAATGAAATTCCGTTTATAGGCAATTCATGAATGATCTCAGTAGAGGAGCTGGCTCATTTCTTTATTGTCTACTTTCTGACCTTTTCCCTCTATATCAGAAGGTAGATGTGGGAAGAAAATGATAATACACTTAATTCATGTATGTTGCTGAGAGCCTTGGCCTCAGCCCTGGTGTTAGAATCTGTTGTCCCACACTCAGTAACCAGGGTTCCAGGACGTCTATCCCCGTTATGGCTCTCTGGGAATCACAGGTGGTGCCCAGCTTCCTCTGTAGCATGGTGACAAGGTGTATTCCCTGAGCACCATAGTCTGTCAGGTAGATGATCATTGCTCTTCCAGGTTCTCCCTGTTACAGCTGGGGTAGGGGACAGTGGTTTTTGTCTTTCCTCTTGTCTTAATGTGCAACATACAGGTCAACGAGGATGAAAATGGAAAGGCAAACTGCTTGGCAGAACAGAGGAAGCACGGTTATTATGACAGGTGGTGGGAAAGCAAACTCCATGTTCTTGATGTGATTTTCAAGAAAACTAAAAATTCAAGCGACGCGTTTCTGTCAATGAACTCAGAAGACCATATAGAGTAACATTTCTTATGTTGGCAAATGTCTGGTCATCCTATTGAAAGCTGACAATCCCCACAACAAAACTCAACTCATTTGTTAATACATTTCTGCTAAAGGGCAAGATGGGTTTGTTATATAAGTTGGTGTGGTTACCTAATGCAGCACAGACCCATGGATTTTCTTTCCAAAGTGACAGCTACAAATTGGACTTAATGAGATTCCTTGCTATATTAATGAGGAGCCTGAATATCGGTGTGCCAATTACATAAGGCCTCAAAAAGGTGGCAGGTGTAATTTCTACCCGAAATAAGGAAAACCCTTGGGGTATGACGGGCTTTGATTTTTTGAGATCTTTTAAAACACTAGGCAGAGATAGTCTCTGCGAATTGTTTTCTGGTGATTTCTGTGACTAAACTTCAAGTGTGAAACTATATTCTTGTCATCAAGAAAAAATGTTCTTGCATTTAACTCTACTACACAGACGTCTCTGAAAGCCACATTTAAGCGACATTCAAAAAAAAACAACATTCTCTGAGATGACATGTTTATTTTTAACCAACCATTTTTAGTTTATACATGTACAAAGATGAGCAAACAGAGACAAGGGGCTGAACTGACATCGACTAGTCACTGGTACTTAACGCCTGGCCCTGCAGGGCTGGGACAGCAACATTTCTGTGACCACGTATCAGGAAATTGACATCTGGTTGATGTTGGGAGACACACACCATTCAGATCATTTCTCAAGTTATTTAAGTTGGCCTTAGCTTTTTGAGCCCCAGAATTTTTGGAAACTTCATATAAAACCTTAAATTGCTATCCTAAGTTTAAAGTTTCTTATGAACAAAGTAAAGAAATACATTCATACATAAAATTTCTTTGCTGGGACTAAGGCTCTAACCCATGTACAAGTTCTAATTGTTTAATTGATATGTTACTTTTCATAGAGTTGATTGGTGTAATTTTGTTTTTAAAAGAAAGTTAAAAAAGCAGTTGTAGTAAGTTGTGTCAAAATGATTGAATTTGATCATAGTTTTCCAGGGAAAATGAAAACAGTTATATATTGAGTAGGAGGCAGCAATAGAGGATTTACTAAACACAAGGACCTCTAGCAAAATAGAATAATTATACCACTT